GCCCCTCACGCAAGTGAGGCGGTGTCCTTTGACATTCTGGACACCAAATTCGACATGATCTTGGGCATGTCATGGCTGCGAAGCAAGGATCACTCGGTGAACTTCTTCAACCGTACCGTTCACGTTCGTGACAGGAACGGAGTATTAGTTCCATTCACGGTGCCTCTTCCTCATCCTTCGATCAKCTGCCACGTGGTATCCGCCGCAAGCATGCGAGCTTCCATCATCAGAGACGACATCGAGGAGATGGGGGGGTGTTTTCTCCACGCCTTCCCGCCACATGACGCTTCATCGACGGACTCACCTTYGGATCCACGCATCACCAAACTTCTCGACGCCTACAGCGACGTGTTCGAAGACCCGCATGGAGTAGTACCGGATCGACCCATCCGCCACAAGATCATCCTCGAGGACGGGGCCGTACCTCCGCGCGGTTGCATCTACCGAATGAGCGAGGAAGAGTTAAGTGTGCTTCGGGCACAACTCGACGACCTTCTAGAGAAAGGCTGGATTCGGCCTAGCTCATCGCCATACGGTGCTCCTGTTCTCTTCGTCCGGAAGAAGAACAAGGGCCTGCGGTTGTGCATCGATTATCGCAAGCTCAACGCGCAGACGATCAGGAACGCCGGCCCTCTCCCACGCATCGACGACCTTCTCGAGCGATTGGGCGGCGCCCAGTTCTTCTCTAAGTTGGATCTCAAGTCAAGGTACCACCAACTCGAGATTCGCAAGGAGGATCGCTACAAGACCGCGTTCAAGACTCGGTATGGGCATTTCGAATGGCTGGTCATGCCATTTGGCCTTACGAATGCCCCAACCACTTTCCATGCGGCTATGACGACGGAGTTCCGACACATGCTGGATCGTTTTGTACTTATATACCTCGACGACATTCTGGTTTACAGTCGGAGTGTGGACGAGCATGTGGAACACCTGCGCACCGTTTTGGAGCGGCTACGACAGGCCAAGTACAAAGCAAACCGCGGCAAGTGCGAGTTCGCACAGCAGGAGCTGGAGTACTTGGGACACTATGTGACGCCGCAAGGCATCCGTCCGCTTGCGGACAAGATCGAGGCCATCCGCGTATGGCCCGAGCCCACCAACACCACGAACATTCGTTCATTCATGGGGTTGGCAGGCTATTATCAGCGTTTCATCACCGGATACTCAAGGATTGCCGCACCTCTGACGAGACTACAATCGCCAAAGGTGCCATTCGTATTCGATGACGACGCGCGCCAGGCTTTCCAAGCACTCAAGACGGCCATGCTCATGGCACCCGTCCTTAGCATCTACGACCCCAGTCTGCCTACGAGAGTGACGATTGACGCTTCCGGTTACGGCATTGGGGCAGTCTTGGAGCAGCACGACGGCGAGGATTGGCACCGTGTGGAGTATTTCAGCCACAAAGTGCCTCCCATCAATTCTCTGGATGATGCAAGGAAGGAGCTGCTTGCGTTCGTCATGGCTCTCAAGCGATGGCGGCACTTCCTTCTTGGGCGTCGTAGGTTCACATGGGTCACCGACAATAACCCATTGACCTACTACAAGACGCAGGACACGGTGAGCAGCACGATTGGACGGTGGATGTACTTCATCGACCGGTTTGATTTCACACCGAAACACGTTGACGGCCTCTCCAATCGCGCAGCAGATGCACTTTCGCGACGACCTGATCTTTGCGCTATGACGCATCACGCCTTCGCGTTCGACGAGGACCTCCAGCGACACTTCATCAGGGGCTATCAGTCTGACCCAGAGTTTGCTACGTCGTATGCGCAACTATCTTCGGATCACCCGCCGGCCAGCCACTATCGCATTGTCGACGGGTACTTGCTCCTCCACTCGAGAGGCAAGGACTTACTGTGTGTCCCACGCGACCGCCGTCTTCGGACTCGCCTTCTCGGCGAGTATCATGATTCGCGACTCGCCGGCCATTTCGGAGTCAATCGCACGATTGCACGGCTTCGACAACGATTCCGATGGCCCGACCTCATTTCCGATGTCATGCGGTATTGCGATTCTTGCGAAGTTTGCCGACGCAGCAAACCCCGCAACCGCAATCCCTATGGCGAGTTACGCCCGATGCCTATCCCCTGGGAACCTGGTATCTCCATTGCTATGGATGTCACCGGTCCGTTTCCTCGAGACCGGCTCGGGCACGACGGCATCCTCACGGTTGTGGACCGATTGAGCAAGTACGCACGTTTTCTTCCTTGCAAGTACTACTCCACGGCTCCCGAGTTGGCACGCCTCTTGCACACCGGTTGGATTTGTGGCCGCGGCGTACCCGAGGACATAGTCAGCGACCGCGACACTCGTTTCATGTCGACTTTTTGGACCTCTCTCATGCAGGAGTCCGGCACGACGATGAAACCCAGTTCGGCTCGGCATCCACAGACAGACGGGCAAACGGAGCGGGCACATCAGACCGCTCAAATGATGCTTCGTACGCTCATCCGTCCGGACCAGAAGGATTGGGTTGACCGCCTCCTCGACATTGAGTTCGCCTACCACACTTCAGTGCACCCGGCGATCGGTGTGACTCCATTCGAGTTGCACCACGGTGGACGGAAAGGCCGTATCTTCGCTGATCTTCTCCTCCCTCGACCAGCCGACATTGACGCCGCTTGCTCTCCCGCTTCCGTCCGGAAGTACAGGGAATTGCTGGCTCAAGCCCGCACAAACATGCAAAAGGCTCAAGTCCGCATGCAGCAGCAAGCCAACAGGCGTCGCGTACCATGTCCCATCCGCGCCGGAGATCGAGTTTGGTTCTCCTCGGAAGAGTTTGCATTGGAACAGGATGTCTCACGCAAACTACTCCCTAAGTGGTTTGGACCACGGACAGTGACATCAGCTGCGGGCGATGAGCCCGATGGCCCTTCATTTGTGATCGACATTCTTGAGCATTTGACGGTCCATCCAGTCTTTCATGCGTCAAAGCTGGCAACATATACACCAGCTAAGAGCGATGACTTCCCGGGCCGACGATCGCAGGACCCTCCTATGGATGGTCATCAGGAGGTTAACCGCGTCATCTCAGATCGCAAGTATGGCAGCAAGCCGCGCCAGTACGAAGTTCCATCTGAAGGAGGGAGAGCTCAGAATGTGCATTGACTATAGGGTTCTCAACGTCGCTACAGTGAAGAATGTAGAACCACTACCCCGTATAGATAATATGTTGGATCGGGTGCAGGGCTGCAAGTACTTCTCCAAGATAGATTTGAAGTCAGGGTACCACCAGATAGAGGTTCACCTTGATGACCAGTACAAAACGACGTTCAGGACTAGGTATGGGCACTACGAGTTTATAGTGATGCCCTTTGGACTGACCAATGCGCCAGCTACGTTTCAGCACTTAATGAATGATTTGTTTAGGTTGTGGTTAGATAGATTTGTAGTCGTTTATCTATATGAGATTCTAATCTTTAGCAAGACCCTCCCGGAGAACGAGGCTCATCTGAGGTAGATCTTAGAAAAGTTGCGCGAAGCAAATTTCAAGATCAATGCGAAGAAGTGCAAGTGGGCCAAGACCGAGATTTTATACTTGGGCCACGTGTTAGATGGTGATGGTATAAAGCTTCATGACAGTAAGATCGCAGCGATTAGAGATTGGCCAACCCTGCGTACCCTCGCAAAACTGAGGTCGTTCCTTGGATGGCAAACTACTACAGGAAGTTCGTTTGTAACTTCTCCACAATTGCTGCTCCCCTTCGCAGACTACCGAAGAAAAAGGCATTCTGGAAGTGGGACCATCAAGGTGGCTGACCTATCTTTACCCTTTGTTGTCACAACTGATGCGAGGTAGTATGGTATAGGTGTTGTTCTACAGTCAGATGATGGCAATGGGTATAAACCCGTGTTTGCTAGGATGCCTTCAGAGAAGGTAGCGACATCGACCTATGAGAGGGAACTCTACGCTCTCAGGCAAGCATTAGACCACTGGAAGCACTACTTGCTTGGGAGGTGCTTCAAAGTCTACTCAGACCACGAGACATCGAGGTGGCTGAAGACTCGGGCCAAGATGACACCTAAGCTTAGTAGGTGGGCCACAAAAATAGACCAATTCGACTTTGAGCTTAGGCTTGTCAAAGGGAAGTACAATGTAGTTTTGGACGCTCTGAGAAGGAGAGCAGACTACTTTGGAGCGATAGTACATTATCTGGACATAGGAAGGGACCTGCAGCAGAAGGTCAAGGGTGCATATGGGCACGACCCTATAGTGACCTCCTCAAGAGAGTTAAGGAGGCCCCAGAAACGGAGCCCCATTACCGCACTACGGACGGGTTACTATTTCAGAAGACTAATGTAGTGGATAGTGCGTTCCTAATAGTGAAGAGATTCGTAGCCTGATCTTAGGGGAATGCCACGACACGGGGCCCCATTTCGTTTGGTCGAAGATGTTAGCCAACCTTGTTAGTGCGTATACTTGGCCTGGCATGAAGGCCGACTACATAGAGTACGTACGCAGTTGTAAGGTGTGCTAGAGAAACAAGACGATTACGCAAGCCCCTATTTCCTCAGGACCCGGAGATTCTGTATCCATCGATTTCATGGATGCTGGGGTTCGAAGTGGGCATGGCAAGAGCCAAGTCATGGGCGTAGTTGATAGGTGCAGCAAATATGCAGTTTTTATTCCTTTGCCTTCAGAGTCACGCACCGACTTAGTAATAGAGAAGTTCTTTGATCATTGGGTCAGTGAGCATGGTCTACCGCTGTCCATAGTTAGTGACAGAGATATCAGGTTCACCAGTCAGAACTGGCAGGAACTGATGAGCGTCTACGGCTAAGTTGCTGATGTCGTCGGGCCATTATCCAGAAACTAACGGTCAGACTGAACAGATGAACAAAATCCTGCAACAAGTTGGTAGAATGTACATTAGGCCCGATCAGGTTAACTGGGACGAGATGCTTAGCACGTACAACAACAGCGTGCACTTAGCAACGTGTCACACTCCCAATGAACAAAGTCATTTAAACTGTGTGCAACGAAGTTGCCTCTACCAAGAAAATTCGGGAACGCCTTCAACTTTTTTGTCCGTGTGCATGAAGTGTGGCGTCAGAGTTTCCATAGTACATGAATCTTTGCAATATCCAAGTTCACCCAGGCCAATTTGGCATGTGGTTTACCCGCTTGATCACAAAATCCAGATCTACTCAGGTTTAGACCGTTTGAGGGACTGAACTGTGACCAAATTCAGAGGCTACCGGCCGGTACTAGGGACTTTGCGTTACAACACGAGAAAGAGATTGCTACAGTAAATCGAGAACCTGAGGAAGGCCCAGCATAAGATGATAGAACAGGCTTAATAAGCACTGTTACCCATCACAGTTTCAAGTCGGCGACTTAGTCTGGGTCAAGTCCAAAGAGTTTGTCCCTAAGGAGAACATTTCGCAGAAGCTGTTGCCTGCATATAGAGGACCATGGGCAGTCTTAGAAGTCAAGGGCGGAAAGGATGGGCCGTCCTATACCATAGAGATTCCAGCACAACTCCATACTTACCCAGTTTTCCATGCGTCAAAGTTGTTACCTTGCACAACAAGTCAATAATTCCGGTCGAGAAGATCGATGATTCCTCCTGACATGGACGGTAGGTCGCTCGGTGAAAATGGTAAACACGACAGACTAAAACGCTTCGTCGGAGAGGATGGGCCGTCCTATACCATAGAGATTCCAGCACAACTCCATACTTACCCAGTTTTCCATGCGTCAAAGTTGTTACCTTGCACACCAAGTCAATACTTCCGGTCGAGAAAATCGATGATTCCTCCTGAGACGACGAATATAACTTAATAGGTCAAAGTGTCAGATTGTGAATTCGAAAACACGGGTTCAACTTCCGTTATTTGCCTCTTGCATCTGAACTCTGGCGAGCCTAAATCCAGCCAAAGCTGGCGCCAAGAGAGATTGACCGTATGGTAGATGATGTATTTAGAACTGGAGGTAGAGGTTGTCCGCAGAGACAGTATAAAGTCAGATTTGCGGATCAAGATCCAGAGGACGACTGCTGGTTTACCAGAACGAAACTTCTAGAGACTGCTCCTGACATAGTACGAGCCTGTGAGGGAGATAATAAAGGGAAAGGTCCTGCCTTGGACTGAAGTATTCTCGGAGGACCTCGAATTTAGGCCGGCGGGAGTACAACAGTTTTTACCTTTATGGTAGCAGACGCAGATCCCAGGGCTCAATCCCTAGACCTTGCCCTCACCCGTGTACAGTACCAAGTCGACCCCTGTGTGTTTGAACCCGCGACGTGTGTCTTGGTAGTCGTTTGTTGTCTATCGCAGGCTAGTGTGGTCGTCGGGTCTTGAACCGTAGGTCTGTCAAGTAGGTGTCTTAGCTGTGTAGTAGTAGCTGTGCGACCTGTGTCTTGGTAGTCGTTTGTTGTCTGTCGCAGGCTAGTGTGGTTGTCGGGTCTTGAACCGTAGGTCTGTCATGTAGGGGTCTTAGCTGTGTAGAAGTTGTAGCTGCTACATTCTCGAAAGGTCAAGGTCGTAGCTGCTACAGTCCCGAAAGGCTAAGTCTGCAGACTTCCAGAAGGTCCGGAAGTGGCGTATCGAGAATTACCAGAGTCAGGCCAGAGGCAAGTGGGCAAGTGGGCAGTCCAACCTCACCTAATCAGTGGTACCCAGTCCCAGTTGCACTTTGCCAAGTCAGCAAGTACCATGTGGGACTGTGTGCACCCTGGGCCTGGTGGAAAGGAGCAGACCAGCGACCAACCGAGTATAAATCAAGAGGCAGTGTCCAGTCATTCATTCATTCTGCCTGTGAGCCGTGCGGAAGTGCTGCCTGAGCGTCTTGTGCAAGGAGGTCTGCAGGGGCCCGAAGAAGAAGTGGGCTGTGAGGGAGATAAAGTGGCGATAGCCGCTAGTTGGTAGGGAAGGTAGAAGGCAGCCATAGCTGCCATAGGTGAGAGGTAGGCTGTAGCGTACAAGTGTGCGAGTATTGTGTGCAGTGTGCGCATGTGTGGGACATCCAGGGAGATTCAGAGTAGCGTGCGTGTGAACGGTTGCTGGGATACAGTGCCGGCTGGGTGTTGTGTGCGCGCACAGGCGCCATAGCCATCGGAAGCAAGTTTGAATCCGAACCGTGTTCTTGGCGTCGATATCTCTGAGCTTTGTGTGGGCGCCTGGCGCCAGTGTGATTGCCATCTCTTTTCATGCATGCTGAGTAAGGAAGAAGACGAGTCTGGTTGCAGAATGGTCTTTTCATGCATGCTAAGGAAGAAGACGAGTCTGGTTGCAGAATGGTTTGTCTGTGCTTATCCTTGATTGTGTGTATGTATGCATGTACGTATGTATGGTCCTTGACGGGATGTTCACTAGATGAGATGGGGGGGCGGATTGATGACCTGGAGAGAAGCATTGGGGATTTGATCAAGGATGTGGGAGTGGAACCTCCCCCGGCGCCTAATTCCTCTGGAGTATCTCCCATGGCTGCTGCGAAACTGGAGAATGCGAAGTAAGCCAATTTTTTTTTATTGCACAGGGAAAGCGAAGGCGCCTAATTCCTCTAGAGTATCTCCCATGGCTGCTGCGAAAGTGGAGAATGCGAAGTAAGCCATTTTTTTTTTATTGCACAGGGAAAGCGAAGAGCTGTTTTGATCAAATGCATTAGTAGTACTTGGCAATGTATATGATGAGAAGGGAAAGCTGTGATCGCTGGCTGATGTTGCTGGTGGTGCTCATGCTAATGTTGTTCATGTGGGGAAGGTGAGACACTTCCTCTCAGTCTAGGCACGTGCTGGCACCTGTGCTACTCTAGGGAGGGTTGGGTTGGGGGAGGGTAGGCAATCCCCTCTGGTCCAGATAGATGTTGTACTCTCTCCTTGATCGGTTTGTCGAACGTTTGGTGGTCGTCGAAGTCGAGTAGCAGAATTTGCATGGAGGGTGCAAGTCGTTGCCTGTTCGGCCCTTTCGTTCCTTGTTTCTTCTCTTTTGTCGTACCAACTTTTGATATTGGATATATATTTAGTAGTAGCAGTTTAGTAAAAACAAGGAAAGAGCATCAATGATCAGGTCGACGATGAGTTGTTAGCTTCGCACCTGTCGAATGAAAAGTGTGACAAAATGAGCACGCGATGTAGGGGAAGGCATATCATTGTTAGGGTGCTGTTTCTGGAGTGAGCATTGGAAGCAGCTTTGCTAATTTCATCACCACATGCATACGGACTCCGTTTTGGGCATGACAGAGAAGTAGAGTGCAGTTCCTTCATTCACCCCTTGTTCCCCTTTGGCAGTGTTGCTTGGTTCCATTGTTTGGGCGTTTCAGAATTCTCAGTTTAGTTTTTGTTCGTGTTTGGTGAGTGTTTTATGATCATTGCTTTCGGACTAGTTGTTTTTTTTTTTTTTTTTTTTTTTTTTTTTTTTTTTGTGTGTGTGTGTGTGTGTGTGTGTGAGAGAGAGATTGATTAGTGGCTAGATCAACTTGTCCATGCTGTAGTGCAGATAGTCTCTTTTGTTTCCAGACCCTGTTGCCAGCTTCCTCCAGCTGTCGCCGAACGGCTGTGTTGTTTATATTGGGAGTGAACTTTTAGAGAATTGTATAGGGCAGGCAGGACTGATGCCCAGCTTTGAAGAGGAATTTCTTTTGCACATTATCAGTCTGATAATCTCTGATTGGTTGACATTTTCCCCTTCATGTGTGCTGTGTTGCATTGATGAGAGTAGTGAATGCCTATCATCTTCAAACTGAAGGAGAAGCGCGGATCGGTGTCAACCGCCCAAGGAGGGGCAGAATGTGGCAGTAAAAAGGGGAGCATAAATGTGTTTGTGTCTGCTGTCTCTAGTAGGCTGGATTTGCCGGTGAGGTTGATTGTTTGCTGTTCCATCTTATTGATTTCGTATCACCCCACGCTCGGCCATCGAGTGCAGAACGTATGTGCATCAGCATTATTCATTTCTGTGCATTCCAGTCTGTACTCCGTAAGCAGAGAAGTCTTGTCTGTTACTTCGCCGTGGTTGATGAAACCAGAGTGCTTGCTGATATGTCCACACATCCTAGCGGCAGATATGTTTTTCTTTTCCTTCTTTTCCCCCCTCTAAACCACCAGTGCATTCGACCCTCTTTTTTCCTTTCCAGATTTCTTCTGCATGCCAAAGAAAAAGCAAACTGCTGCGGATGTGAGATTGCCTCTTTTTGCCTGGTGCTGCCAGCCTTTTCCGTCCAGTACGCCCAAGCCCCGGAGGTTTAACTTCCGCGTCGGAACAAAATACCTGTGAATCAGACTGGTGGTTAAACTACCAGTATCCAGTCCAGCTACTCCATGTGCACCTGCTGGTCAACCTGGGTGCCGCAGACAGGCGCGGGCTTATGGAAGCCTGGTGGCTCCCCACTTTGGAGATCTTTGTTTTGTCCCCTTTTTTTTCTAGCGTCTGCAGAGGGCCCAATTTTTGGAGCTGATAAAAACATCTCCCAATAATAGGCTTCTTCCCCATTTGTAGATGGTTCCTGCACAAGCTGGAAACAGGGTCCACCCGGTCCAGTGTCTCGTTGTTTGTAGATGGTTCCAGCTGCACCTGCTGGAGCAATCACTGTCCGCCTAGCCAGGTATCAGGCCACCCACCCTCAGGTCCCTCATGTAACCCTAACCCTATGTCAACTGAGTAAATTCTGACACACCCATACCATGGTCGAATCCAATCGGGAGTTTACTATGGTCAATGTAGTGAACTTTGTGGTACCAATCATGGCGTTATGCCTATTGTAGTGGAAGCTGTCTCTTTCAATGATTATGTTTCTTGGGTGTCTAATAAATTAGACTAAAAAACAAAGGAGCGAAGCAATGAGTATGAGTTCTCAAAAGCATCCTTATCATTTAGTTGATCCAAGTCCATGGTATGTCGGATCCAATCGGCTGACTGCCCTTCAAGCTACCCCCATCCCTTGTAGTGGCGCTATTGAATGATAATCTCAACGTCTCCTCCAAACCTAAGGAGAGCCCCTATAGTGTGGTCAACGCACTCCATGATGTAACTACCTACGATGGTCCTCACCTCGCTGCGATGCACTCCTTGAAATGATTAGCATCTGGAATCTTTGTTAGTGGATGAAGCATGCTATCCGAGCTTCCTCAACACGCCATCTGCCCGTGGACCCCCTCTTCCCCGCAACCCATAACAGGCAGGGTGTTGTTCGAGGCGTCTGTATGTATGTGATGTAATGTGATGTACGCGTGCGCACAACAGCGTTCTACGCACCCTGGGGGTTGTTCGCACGCATACAACACGTCCGTTTTGCCGAAACAGTTTTTTTTTTTTTTTTTTTGTCCGATGTGGGGTGGACGGTGTACACACAGCGAGGGTGATCTCGGGAATGGAAGAGGGCAGAAGCTGCCCTGAACAGAACTCGCACACATTTTGGCTGCACCTGACTGGAAAGTTAGCTTGTATACCTTTATTTTCAGGGTGCTAAGCCATTTTGGGGATTTCCTGGCTGCACCCGCCCATGAAGATAACTTGTACTCATTCATTATCAGGGTGCGTTTTGTTCGGGGAAGACGATTGGACATGCACTGTCCCTCTCTCCCTCTCTCCCTCTCTCCCTCTCCCTCTCCCTCTCTCCCACTCTCTCTCATGCACCCGCGTGGCCGCCTGCTCTCCCTTCGTCCCTCCCTCCCTCCCTCCCTCCCTCCCTCTCACTCTCTCT